TATCGCTTCTCACAGCAACTGAGTTCCTTGTGTTCATGGTAAGGGCACACTGAGACCTGAGTTGAAAGCACCATTCTTGGGGTGGAGGGGAGAAGACTCTTTGCTTCTGCTAACTACCTGCCAGACTGTGCTCTAAGTGAAGCTCTTGAGGTGAAGATTTTTCTGGTCCACATGAGTAGAGGATGTTTTCTTCTCTTTATGAAACTGACTGGAGAGGTTTCTTCTCTCTTCTACCTGTCCCTCTGGTGCAGGGTGTGGGGCTGGAAGCACTCGCTTCTCAGTGTGTGGAGACTGCTTAGCCTGCCATGGACTCAGCTCTCTGCAATAGAAACGGCCTAGTTGATATCTGGCAAAGTCCTGTGTCACCGAGCTGAGCAGGGGAACATATACAGAATTCCCCTGGTCTGGTAAAACATTTGTGATGAAAACAGTCTCATCTGCCCAGGTTTTCTTTCTTTTGAATTTTAACAGTTTTGAACCTTCCAATCAGACTATCAATACATTTGGGTATATTTAATTTTTAAGGACGACTTAATCACAGTTTTAGTTGTTTTGGCGTAAGGAGGACTGTGATGGGACTAGAGTGTTAGGTCAGGGCATGGTTGGAGGCAGAGTTTTCATTTAATTTGCTGTGCCTTCTGGTTAAGAAGTTGTTTTCATTCCTAATATTTTTTTAAGCCATGATTTGGCTAATTTGACCAAGCTGGTCTCAAACTTTTGATTCTCCTACATGAGCTGGTATGGTGTGTGAGAAGTTGTATATTTTGATGTCTCCACAAGGCTACCTTTTCTTCTGTGGTTACCCATTGTGGATGTTGTCAAAGAAGTCTTCCCTAACCTCAGTCTCCCAAAATCGTGAGCATGCAAAGACTTCCTCTAATATTTTTCTCATATACATAAATATACACACTTGTATAGATGGAAAGCTTTGGTTTTATTTTTGTGATCTAGACAACTGGGGGCATGGATTAAATGTGTTTTTTTTATTTTAACAAGTAGATATGTTTTTGAGATTGCATATATATTTATATATTATGCATACATATTTCACATACAGAGATTTGATTGGAAAACTCTGAAACATAGAATTTACATAAAAGAACTCTCAGAACCTTATATAAATCAAGGGTCAACCCTCCCCCACCCCGTTTGCTGTCTTCAGCTCCCTGTTTGCACTTGAAGTTCATTTCAGGGCCTTCCATTTTCTTTAGTTTCTCTCCCCCACCCCCATTCCAATACTATAATGAAAATGACTATTTCATTAACGAAACTACACATGTTAAATGATAGGGAGTCAAAAACTGGGTCCATTTTGAGAGTAGAAATGGAGACGTGTAGAGGCTTCATGCTTGCATGTCTAATTGCTGTGATGTTCACTCGGGTCCAGAGATTCACCGATTCTCAGAATACATCCTTGTCAGCCCACAGCAAGCACTGGACCATGGAATTGGGTTTTATTGATTAATATGCGGCTGCATACAAGCATGACGCACTCAAGGGCTTGGCTGAGGAGTCTTCCAGCAAATACAACACAGATAGCCCCAAGTGAGGAGAGATGGGCGAGGCTATGGGAGGGAAGGGCAGTCCTAAGAGCACGTTCTGCCAGAGGACAGTATTCTATCCAGAGGACAGTATTCTATTCGTCCTGAGGGTCTGCCCTTTGCGCTTGCTATTCTTGTCTAGGGCTGTGGGACTGTTCTTCAGTCAGGATGCAATTTATTCAGTTAGGGATGTCTGTGAGATAAGGTAAAGCTACCGACAGTGGTCCTGAGCTCAGGTAGCCTCTTCTGTGCATCCCACCCCCCACCCCCAGCATGTGGCTGAGACCCTGTGACCTGTCAGCCCCAGCACCAGAGCTTTGAGAGCGGTCACAGACATCCCTCAGCTTCTCTCTGCTTTGATATGTCTTAAGGCTGTGAGAGAAGGTGGGAGAAACAGCAGATTTGGGCACCGTCTCCCCCAGGTATGTCACATGTGAGGCCGGCCTGTTCACTCACCTGCCAGGTCGCTCCTTAGATCTCTTTGCAGCACTGTTGCAAAACAACACGGAGTAGGGTTAATACATCCCAACCACTGTCAAGACTCACAACAGCGACCTCAGCCCTCCCATCTCCTGAGTGAACCAAGGGCCTTCTACCCAAACTGAAGCCAGTGAGTGCATGGCCCTAACCTACCAATCTTCAGGGATCCCTGCTATACTGACCAGAGCAAGAAATGCTCTGCTTGTTTGGTCTCCATAAGACTGAGAAGCACAGTTACTGTGAACTACATAAAAAGGGAGGACCCAGAGGAAGCAGCCAAGAGGCTACGTGGAGCCTTCAAGTCCACTTTAAACCTCCATCTTAAGTGGCTTCTTTCCAAAAGTATAAATGAGAAAACAGGTCAGCTCAGTGTCGCAAGCTAGAAGCGAACTTTGAACACTAAGCTGATCTTAAGCTCAGCCCTGAGCAAACAGAGCACGAGAGTGGGAACAGGCCCAGCATCACGTACTAAGTCGGCTGAACTTGGTCACGTGTGTACTTGAGGTCCTTCAAACTGAAACAAGCGCTCTGAGGAGGACACTCACATCAACCTTTGTGGATTCTTTAGAAAGCCCGGCTTGGAGTGAGGGTTGTAAGCGAGCTCTCTGGAGGAGGCTTCAAGGAGGCAGCTGAGGGCCAGGAAAGGGCTGGCCTCTCCCTGGACCTGCAGGGCCTCTAGAGTGGGAATTGTACCGTATAGATTGTCCTACTGAGAGGTAAGTGTGCCCGAACCACAAATCCCACACCAACCAGTGAGTCATAGGAAGTGAAAGTGAGGTAGAAAGTGTCCCAGGCATACACAAGCAAGCCCAGCCCCCACTGGCCCAGAGGGTATGCATGCCCCCAACAGCAACCTTGGGGCAGAGGTGCTGTCGCCCAGGGAAGAACTGTTAGACTTTGCCTCACAACACCTGGCATGCCTTGGAGGGCCCTGAATGACAGGAGATGAAAAACTGCCCAACCAGGCTAAATATTTTTGACTGCAGCTGCTTGGGGGTGGGGTGGGCTGTCTACCTCTGAAAGGATCAAAGACAGGAACAGCCCCAGGCCACGACTGTGCAAAAACACCCCTTCGAAGACAGCACCAGGGTCCCTATAGGCAGTTCTGAAGAATGACAGGGTCTAGACCCCACTTTGGTTAAGACCAGGTATGAGAGGGCCAGGAAGTCTCCTGACAGATTCCCCCTCCCCTCAGCCGCTTTGATTGAATGAAGTCTCCAAGGTCCAGGTTATGTGCCATTCTTAACGCCTGCAAGCCAGCTGCAGTTCCCCCGTGGTCTCAGGGGCAAAGGTGAGCCTGCACACTTACTGGCAGCATGGTTCCCAGAGGTCCCACCTCCCTTCCTTCCTTTGTCTGTGTGCTTTGAAATCTCTCTGCAGGAGCTCCGGTGGGTTCAGGGGGTTATGGTGAGTGAAATAGCAGCCTTCCCTCCCTCGCCTGATAGCTCTTCAGGGAATCTGTGGTCTTGACAAATGGGACAGAGGCTTCAGGGAAGGAGCTGGGGGGGGGCACATTCCCACCCCCAAGGGATGGCAGCTCCTGCTCCAGACAGGGAAGGCAAATTTCTTTCAAATGTAGACATCCAGTGAAGGCAACAAAAAGCCACTTTCCTGTTGCTGGTGCTGGGAAAAGGCGATGTCTGAAAGAGTGCTATGTTCAATCCTGCAGTCGGCCCTGGTGACCAGGTCCCTTGGCTGGGTCTTGGTGGAAGCTCAAACTAACAAGGCAGCAAAATGGCTAAGCATGTTGCCCCCTTCCCCAGAAGGTCCTGTGGAGCTCCATGGGCACCAAATGCTTGGAAACTGAAGCCTGTGTCTGCAAACAGTGAAAAGAGTGTTCCAACAAGCTTAAGACGTGGCAGTGAGCCTTCATCTCAGCATTCTTACCTGGAAGATATGGGTGCTAGACTAGACAGTTGGTCTATTTAGGGTTGTACATACTTGTCAGTAAAGTATTGTGAGCCTTCATCCTAAAAACCCAGTCCAAGTTCACAGGCAGATTGCACAGCTCTACTGGCTAGAAGCATGCCATGCATTGCAAAGGGGCACGCACCAACGGGCAAGCAGTCTACATGACAGTCAATATAAGTGAGATCCCAGCCCATCCTCTTTCTCTGCCCTTCTGGTGTCTTCCTTCTGGGTTGCGAGTGATGTTTTGTTTCGGGGACCACTAGATCCAATGAACTGGAAGGGACTCTCTGATGAGGAATTTGAGCAGACCGTCAAGATGCAGGCTGCCAACACAACATTGCCTATGGTGTTGGCAGCGACCGCAAGTGGCTCTTAACATAACTGTAGCTTACATGCTCTGTAGCCCCCCAGGAGAGCAGCAGACACCACGTGGATCAATGCTGACAGTAGAACATCTTCATTCTTGCACAAAGTTCTGTCTAGCAAACTGTTCAGTGAGTAGCGAAGGCCCAGAATCTAATATCAAATATTGATACCTAACTGCAGCATCACTTTCCTAAGCAGTTGCTAAGCATCACGAGGAGAACATTTAAACATGGTCTCAGGCTGGGGATGTGCCTCAGCAGGTCGAATGCCTTCCTCACACGCATAAAGCCCTGGGTTCCAGCCCTAGTGCTCCATAAACTGAGCACGGAGGTGCTCACCTGTGGTCCCAGATCTCAGAAGGCAGAGGCAGGAGGAACAGAAGTACGTGATCATCCTCAGCTCTGTCGGAAGTTCAAGGCTAGCCTGGGCTCTGTGAGATCATGTCCCAAAACAACATTCACTTAGTTCCTGCACAGCCTTGCAGGCTGTGCCGTTTTGATCCTCACATCCCAGAGTAAGAAGATGAGCTTGGAGAGGGGGGTGAGGAGAAAAGGTGAGTAGGGGTGGGTGAGGGGTTACTCAGAGCTGATCAGCTACTTCAAGTCCAGCCTCACGTTCCCCAGTCGCCCCCAGGACCTCTCTGGTGTCCCTGGCACACGTTCTCCCACTTGGTAGCTATGTGTACACTGCTCTGCCCCACAGGTGCGAAGGGAGTTTCTGGCAGAGAGCCAAACGGCTGTGCAAGCCACCCTGGTTGCCGAGAAGAAGCTGTCTCCCCCACCGACTTGAAGAGTTAGAGCCACGAGGGACCCTCGAGAGGACTTCAGAAGTGGCAGGTAACACTTTCCTTGGCAGCGAATCCAGACCGAGCAAGCAAAGGCTCCAAGCCCTCGTGTTTATGTTGTGATAGTAGTAGATGGTCAGGGCAAATCCAGGAGGGGTCAGGCATATGAAGGGCCATGATACGGTTTTTACCTGGGAAACAATCAACCCTGATCTATGGAAATGGCATGCACGGGGTAAGAAATCAAGACGCTTCTGGGTGGTGCAAACATACCCCTAGCCCTGGCTACAAGGGTCTGGCTCCAATCTTGTCTGGGAATGCTTGCACCAGGACTCTGGTGCCTCCACCTCCCCATCTCTAGACAGAAAGTATGCTCAGTTCTTTGCACAATCCTGTCATTGTAAGGCTCTGGGGATTAGGGCAGTAGTGGCTGTGGATGGTGTAACAGCAGAATAGACAGGTGGTATGGTTCTGTGAGAGGCACATGTCCAATGCTTACCTGGGCAGCAATCATAACAAAGCCCAGAGAGAAATGAAGCATGACATCGTGGAGGCTGCTTTCTGGAAAAAAGATGTTCCGAGCTCCCAACATTGAGCACGTAGGAGGACTCAGTGAACTTTTCAGAATCACTGCGTGACCCCCTCTTTTCTCCAGCACTAATGACTCCAGCCTTGGTCTTGCTTGCAGAGGGTTGACTGGGAAGAATGGAGCCATCTTTGAGAGCTATGGGCCCAGCATAGCTGGGTCAGCAGCATCTGTGTTACCATCTCTTTGTGTCTGGTTGTTAACTGATTAGCTCAAGGGCTGACCTAGCCTTTGTCTGGTGCCTGGGTATTCTTGGAGGACCACAGTGGGGCATTTACTCTTCTGCTTTGTAGCTCCAGCACTCCCTACAGGCAAATAGCACTTGCTCCACCCCTTCTCCTCCACCCAGTCCCCCAAAGTCTTCTCTCCATGTAAAAAGATGGGGCTGAATGTTACACTTAAACCAATGTAGGAGGCCAGTCTTCCTGTGAGGGGCTGTGGCTCTCACCTTCATCTACATCCCTTTGTTCAGGGAAATCAGCCACTGTGCCTGGCAACATCCTGTGTGGAGGAGGACATCACTGAGCTAAACATGGGTTTGTCTGTATACCAGAACAAGAGAAAAGTCTCCCATACAAGGCCCAGGGGATACTGTGAGATTATGCTTTCTCAGTGGGCCTTCATGAGATAGTATTGATGGCATCTCTGATTTCTAGACTCAAGGACGAGCCTCTTCCCATTCCTTAAGAGCTTCTTCAACTCGCAGTCCATTGTTGGGAACCCAGATTTCAGAGCACTGGAAGGTGAAGGGCTGCAGGCACAGGAGCCTCACATCAAAGGGAGGCCGTGTAGGTACCATGGCCCCTGCTGTCTGGCTCCTCATCCTTTGTCTCCGTGTGCCTCACCCTATGTCTGTGGGCAAGAGGTTGCCAATGGTCATGAGTAAAACAAATGGAACCAACTGAACTCTGCCAGTTGTCCCCCAAAATGGGGCTCTCTCCATCTCTTCCCAACAGCTGTAGTATGGTGAATCCAGCTGTGTTGGGAGCTCACACCAGGAAAGTCATGGGCCAGGCTCTGTGCTGTGCAGGTGGGAGGGACAAAGAGAGTCCCTGCTCCTAACAGTAGGGAAGAGAGACAGGTTGGCTGGTTCCTTATCCACCTTTGCCCAAACTACACTGGGAATGGCATGGGTGATCTGTTAACTTCCCCATGGAGAATTTTGGCTGTAAAGCTAAGACACACAAGCTCTGGCCTGTAGACCCAAATACTCAGTATGAGATCACTGCCATAGCTGCTGGGTATACCCTTAATTTGGAGCTTCCAAAGCAGCCAGTGATGCTGATTGTTAATACACATACAAGTGGCATATGCAGAGTGTCGCTAAGGGGAAGAGAGACCCATGGTGACTAGCGCTCGTGCCCATAGGAGGAATATGGTACCCATAGGAGGAATAGAAGGAGGGTCTCTTTGGAGACCAGGGCCTTTTTATGGAGAGGTGGGTGTGGCTGTCTGGCTGGGTATTGAACACATTGAAGAGACTGTCAGGAGGAAGAATGTGGGGGAAAAGAGGTCGAATGTAGGGGCTGCCACATGGAATGGTCCAGGAAACGGTGCATCATCATCCAGCATGCCTATTGGATGTAGGAAGCTTGGCTGTCTTCCTCCATATACTGCAGCAACAAGCCTGGTGCTTCCTATCCCCGTCCAGTTCTCCCAGGAAGCCTTAGGGCCTCGAGTTCCCCAAAGATTAAGAGACAGGCTTCTCCCTCTCTCTTCCAGGCCCCATGATTCCAGTTTCTTTACCTTGTGACCTCACCTTTCCAGTAGCTAGCTCTATCGTCACATGACCTTCTCTCCTGTGTCACTGTAGGTAAAACCACCCTCTGCCTTGTTCTTACAAGGACATCTGTCACTGAATTCAGAGTCCTCACTAAACCTAGGGTCATCTCATCTTAAGAAGCATGAATTAGTGGGTTCTGTGGACTCTTTACCAACATCATTTTCACAGATCCTAAAGTTTGGGAAGCTACTGCTCAGCCTTTGCAATTTCCCTGCATCTGATCCTACATAAGTGCTGTCCACGTCCTTCTGAATGAGCAAATAGCATGGGGCATGCAGACATCAGTGTGTAGACAGGCTCCTCACTTGGGATCTCCTTGGTAGTAAACACATCTGGCAGCACATTGCAGTTAGCCTAAGCTGTAACAACATAATCACAGGGCTGGAGAGATTGCTCATGGAGTAAGGCATGCTGGGTAAGGGTGTAGGCCTGAATTCAGTCCCTGATACCTACATAAGAAGCTAAGCACATAATCTCAGCACTTCTGAGGTAGAGACAGGAGAATCTCTGGGGTTCTCAGAGAAGCCAATGGGGCCAAATCGATGAGCTACAAGTTCAGTGAGAGACCCTGTCTCAAACGATAAGGCAACGTGTAATTATAGGTGGTACCTGATGTTCCAGGCTTCTACACACACACACACACACACACACACACACACACACACACACACACACGGGGGAGAGGGGGAGGGAGTCCCTACCTTCACCCTTAGCATCAGGCTCTTTAATACTTTGGGATTCTCAGCATGCAGGGAACATCTCAGTAGGCATGGGGCCCATCAGCATCCCTGTAACAGAGAATACTTGGGGAGCCATAGGCAATGCCTCTCATGTGGTTTTGTGGACTGTGCAGACTTTCAGCTCCACATTCCCCTAGAATGTGCCTAGCCTTACCCTCTGGCTCCAGCCATGGGGCGCTGTAAGCCAAAGAAAACTGCTCTCTATAGTCCTTTCCAGACATCCCTGGGAAATTCTGGCCCTGTTCATGGGTACTGGCTTGATCATAGAGATAGATACAAGGGTCTTAGTATGACCAGAGTGGCCTTAAGAGGGCCACTGACATGCACTGTCTCTTCATCACCTTGAAATCTTCTCTTAACCTCAAGGGAGGGATGGGTGGGACTGTTTTTACCCAGCAGGATGTCTGAGAGGTCCCAGACATCCCCCATGTCCCTCCACTTGGAGGTAATCTGCTCTGTACAGTCCAAACTCAACAGTAGCCTTCCATGGCTTTGTCACATCCCTAAGAGCGAAGTTGGGAGCTAATGGATACAACCAGCTCTCGACAGAAACAGAACCCATGTATAGATGGAGCTAAGTTAATTTTCTACTGGGAACCCAGGTCCAGGCTTGCACCCTTGTAGGTAATAGTACCCTGAACACGACTCTTAAACATCTAATCCATTTTGTGATATTTGAGCAGCAGGCTGAGCCACAGGATGGGGTCCCTAGTGCCTATTTTCAAAGACTTCCTGCCCCTGCAATTAGTCAGAGTTGGAGGCATTGGCATTGCAGGGCAGGTGTGAGCTTGCAGGGTGAGGTCAACACACACTGGCCTAGGAAGAATTAATCACTGTGTATCTTTATTGAAGTGTCTGAGGGGGCCTCAGAAAGGGTGGTTGACAGAGCATGATGGACACGTGATTGGCAGCTGGGAAAGCATGTCAAAATAAATACTACTTGGAAACCAAAGGGCTAGAGGGTTTCATAACCACTGCTCACCAGTCTGAGCATCTTAGAGAGGCGAAAGGCTCTCAGAGGTGAAAGGTGTTGAAGGAACTTTCTAACAAAGGAAGCCAGGCTGGGCTGTGGTGGTCTGCCATTTATAAATGACTGTGCCAAGCGTTTTTTTGACAGAGTGGGTGCTAGAGGGAGAGATCTGAGCTGATTCCCAGTGATCAAGATGACGAGCTAGAATGCCCCTCCCCCCATGTGCAATTGCAGTGTGTGAGTACATGCAACTGGGATTATTGTGACTATGTACTGTGACTGGGAACGCCTGTGAGTGTGTGTGCTTGGACCTGTGTTTACCTGGGCAGCTGTGTGGACCTGCAACTGTGTATACCGGTGACTGTGTGTACCGTGGCCGTGTGTACCTGTGACTGTATGTGCTGTAACTGTGTGTACCTGCGACCGTGTGTATGGACTTGTGCTGTGTGTGCCTGTGGCTGTGTGGCTTTTGGAGGTGTGGGAGGAGGAGCTGCATCCCAGGGCAGAGCAATATGTGGTGATTTGTTTAAGGGATGCTTAGAAAAGTCCAAGAGGCTGTAATTGGAGAAATTTGGTGCAATCAAAAGAAGAAATTGAGAATCCCCATTACTTTGGGATGGGGGATGTGTCAGTTCTAAGGTAGGGAAAGCATGGGTTCTGGCCCTGGAGGCTCCTAAAAAAGTCATTTCTAAATACTGGTCAAGGACACACATATCCAAGAAAAAATTAGGTCTGGTATTTTTTTCTTTATTTTTTGGAGACTCTTACTGTCAAAAACTTAGGATGAGACAGAATGTTTTTTAAAAATATTTTTAAAGATGTTTGATTTCCCTTTAAATCATTCCAATAGCTCAGAGCTAATCATTCAGATTAACAGATGGTGTGGTGATGAAGCCATCTGTAAGCAGAAGTCCAGGGAAGTTACAAAGAATGGAGGCCCAAGTCACAGGATTCTACACTGACTAGAGGCTGT